AGCTGAACTTGAGCTGCGAGAAGAGAAGTTTCGAGAATTTCAGTAACTGGATTTGGCTTTACAACAAGACAGGCTGGCTGCAAACGCACTGCACAGCACAGCACCCCCACCCTGCCCCCTGGGCCCCCGCACGAGCTCTCGCCGAGATGCTGATGTCTACAGACATTAACTTTATTCCAGCTAAACACCAGCCATGCACGAGCATCAAACCTGAAGTCGAAAAACCTCAACTGGGAAAATCAGAGTTTAACTTCATCACCTTTCACAGAAAGACAACACAGTGTCCTGAACAGCGCTGTCCGGGAGGCCCAGAAGCACGGTGGGCAGGGGTCCCCCATTTATAAAGTGGACAGCTGCTGGCACTGCCACACACACATGCGTGAGCTGAGGCGATCTTCATGGATGAGTGAAGACCTTGCTCCCGAGCCCTAGGGCTACTCACTCTTTCTGTCCACGACTCGACAACCTGAGACTCTCCTAACAGTGAAGATGACATATTTCATGTGCCTTTCTATAAAAACAAACTCATGTTTCCAAGGCCCCAGCCTCCACACACATTGCACTGCCTGCATCCTGTTTTCTACTAGTCAAATCCCAGAGAGTCACTGAAAATATTTGGAGCTTGCAAAGACCATACCCTGCCATGGCTAGGGCACGAATCCCCAAAGTGGGGTTTCCTTCTGAATCTTTGGGGGTCCCAGATCCCTTTGAGCACTGATGAAAGTTGTGGGTCCTTTCTCACAAAGAGATTAAGTCCGCATCTGCATGCAGGATTTCACAAATGCTTTGGGGAAACTGGAAGAAACCTCTGAAGTCATCCCTGACTTCTCGGAATGGTGGAGTCCTGGCCATTGCCTAAAGCCCGCCTCACATGTCAGCTGCTCCGCCAGGTCTTCTCCCAGACCCTTCCTCTGCCCCCAGGAGGGACGGCTTCCTGGTCTGTGCACCCACCCCTGCCCCAGTCCCTGACACTCCCTACGCAGGGGATTGTTTCCACAATCCCCTCAACCAGAACATGAGGGCCTCCTGTATCTGCTTGTCATCACCACCCCAGTACCCAGTCCAGGTCCAGGCACTGAATAACTCAGCTTTAGAAATGCATTTTCCAAAAACAGACCTTTGTCTATAACTATTAGGAGCGATATGTTACATGTGCTTGATCCTTCAGCAAATGCTGAGTTAATTTCCTTTATGAATTTAAAGACACAGAATAATCACAGGGCTAACTGGATTTTCACATTTCCTTTCCCGAAAGGCTTCACAAATCTTTGCCTGGCAACAGCAGCAACTGTTGTTTTTTTTTCCAGTTTCCCCAACTCGGGGAAGAATACAAATCTAGCCGTGTTTAGAGAAAGAAGAGGCGTGATGATGGATATGGACCGCAGGGCCTGGCTCCCAGATCAGACACTCTGTGGGAACACTAGTCACAGCATGAAAAATACCCCAGAGAAGAAGTTGTACTTTTCCTGGCTGCACAAAGGCAAACATCTTCAGGTTTAGGTGAGGGCTGAGTTAACAGGCTCTGAAAGGAGCACTGTCCTTAGCTGTTCATAACTAGAAAGGGCATTGTCACACAGGAAGTGACAGAACCGGGTCCAAGGAGCTAATGAAATTTCCACTGCTTAGGACGTGCCTGAGAACTGCCTGCTTTTACCTGAAAGCTGGCTCCAGTTTTGCACGCATGGCTGAAAAGCAAGGAGGTGAAACCCCTGCTGGGACCCGCACAGTGGGATCCCCGGGGTGACGGCAATGGGGAAAGACTGAGCCAGGCTCCCCCTGCACACCCCCCCGGGTGGACACAAGGGAGCGCATATACAGAGAAAAATGCTGTTTTCTCTCATCACGATGGACAACAGTTATCTTGAATGCCTGAATCATTCATCATGTGCTCTTGCAAGCTATCCAGAACTCTGGATCCCACTCCTGGCCACATAGCCCCTATGCATGGCCCCGGGTGAAATCCCGCCTTCCTCCTATGGCCAGCCTCATTCAGCAGCAGCTCTAAGTCCTTGCTTGTGTCAGGGAGAGGAGTTCGCCAATAAAGAAAATTATTGAAAGCATCCTCAGGACACACTGCGCGGGCCCACGAATCCAGTCAAGGATGGCCACAGATGGGGAGGTCATTAACACTGGGGAGCTTTGTGGCCTCTGGGGGAAGCCTGGTCAGCTCAGCTCCAGCCAAGACAGAGTCTTCTACCAGGTTCTCCACCAGGCCACCGGAGGGGCTACTGACACGTGGGAAGGTGTTGGTGTCTATGGATGGGCCTTCTCTAGGCAGAGCTGGCTCTCTCTGGCCTGGCTGTGCTGAACTAGGTTAAAATGGGGGAAGCAAGTTTTTAGTGCTATACAACAGACTGGAGATTGAGGGCATGAGGAAAAAGGGGTGGCAGAGGATGAGATGGTTGGACGGCATCATCGACTTAATGGACATGAGTTTGAGCAAACTCCAGGAGATAGTGAGGGACAGGGAAGCCTGGTGTGCTGCAGTCCATGGGGTCGCGAAGAACTGGACACGACTGAACTACTGAACAACAAACAACAACAATAGACTGGAAGGAAAATGGGAAAAGGTGAGGTCCACATCCTTGCAAGCCAGTCCTCCCCGTCTACCTGGAGACCCAACCTCTCAGGTCTCCTGGGGCCAGAAGATACTAACCTCACAGGGGACGAGAGGCCCAGTCAGTACCCTCAGATCTGCTGGGGCGGGGGGTACTTTGTGCACTGAAAAAGGCATAAGAGGGTGCAGCCAACCCCTCCACCATGCCCAAGTGGTGCAATGAGCCCTGGCTTTGGTGCGCTGGCACCCCTTGGCATGGCAAGACTTCTTGCACTTACTGCTCATCAGTCCCTCCACCAGGGGGCAGGCATTAGAAAATAAAATGTGCTGGACCCAAAGGCCTGGCTACTCGCGAGCCAGTTGGAAAGTCTTGATGAGGAAGACGTGGTGCCCCAGGCCTGACCTTCAGCAAGAACTCTGAATTTTGGTGAAGAAAGGTAGAGGGAAGGATCCACCACTCTTACAGAGCATCCATACCCCCTGAGATGTGAATTACCTCCTCTCACACTGCTAAGTAACATTAACACTGGAGAGATGCTTGTGAACCATCTTGAATGGTCTGCTTAGAGTGTACCTGTCATCTTCAGAGGGAAGACCATTAAAAAAAAAAAAAAAACAAGATCAATCACTAGAACATACAAGAAATACAGTGTAGGGCCGACAAACAGTGGGTCAGGAATGTCACCTTCATGTGCATGTAAAATCCTATGGCACAAAAGTCTATTTGGGAAACTTCACATTTTCCCTGTGTGAATTGTCCAAAGAACTTCATTAATCAAATGGTAAAAGAAAATTTTCTTTATAGGTTATTTAATCACTACTCTCAATGAATATTTTATCTAAATTTAGGAGACAGTAGCTTCATTATTTATAACCCAGTAGTCATGTTTCAAAATCATTATTGCAATTACTTTTTGCTTCTTTACATAATTAAAGCTCTAATATTCCATCTTGCCCAGAAGGTCACTGTTACTAAAACTCCAGACGAGATAATTGCTAGAATTTTAGGTGGACGCTTGAGGTGAAGCGGGGACCCTGATAATTATCCGGCTGAAACTCACCAGGCAGAGGCTGTGTCCCCACAGCTGCCTGCACTTAGTAGCCCAGGCTGATGTCCGAGTCCAAACCCGGAGCTGGTGGTCAGATGTTCAAGGTACCATCTTCCTGAATATAAAGGCCAGCCCTGGAGGGGTTGGCAAAGGTGGAGATGAAGGGGCCCAGGGACAGAAGGCAGCCTGGAGAACCTGAAACCAGAGAGAAGGGCTCAGTAGGTACAGGGTCTGATTCACTTGATTCCAGGTGGGACAGATGGCTAGCCACCAGACAGCTCGCTGTCAACCGAATCATGTCTCAGCAGGTGCATTGCTTTCTAAAAGCAGTCCCTAAGTTCCAAATAAACTGTTTTTCAATAGAAAATCAGGAAAAAAAAATGTAGTACCATCAGGTAGCTTGTATGCTTCCAGAATATTAATTCCATATCAAATAATTCCAGACTTTGTAAAGCATGTGAACAGCGCTTATTAATCACTGTGGGCATGTTTATGACTATAACAGAAAAGGTAACTTGGCAGTTAGTTTTCTCCTCCTCATTTTCATTTCTGGAATATTTGTTTGCTACCAACGCTCCAGGCTTCTGAGATTTCAGGTCCCCTAATAATCCTCACAAAGTCTAAATAAGCTGGCCCATTACTGAAAAGACACAGGACACAGTGACAAGTCCGGAGGCCACGCCGAGGCCCCAGAGTGGCCACACTCACCCATCGGCAGGGGTCACTGATCAGTGTGATGAAAAGGGGCCAGAGCTTGGCCCTGCAGACCTCAGGGGACGTGTTGTGGGCCACGGCCAGGAAGCACTCAGCACAAGCTTTCCGCATCCCCCATACACTGTCCGTGCAGAACCCAAAAACCTTAGGGGCCTACCAAAGCAAACAGAACCATGCTGCTCAGACTCAGCCATCCTGAGCAAGGGCGGGCCTGACTTAGTGATGCCGTGGAGGCAGAGCTGTAAGTCAAGGGCGCAGAAAAGGGAACCAGATATGAGTTCAAAAGAAAGCGTCTGAAACAAACAGAAATAACAAGAAGTAACTTCCTTTACCCCTTAATCCTAGCAAATGACCTGGTTAAATCCAAGAAGATAAATACAGAAAACCTCCCAAAGGCTGAATGACTGGTATCTGTTATGTGAATTGTAGAGAAGAATTGTGGATGACTTTGAAATTCTGGATTCCCCAAGGAGCACACCCATCAAAGTAAGATGGTCTTTGGGGATGTTTTATTCCTAAGTCAAAGTGTTAGTCGCTCAGTCATGTCTGACTCCTTGCAACCCCCATGGACTATAGCCCACCAGGCTCCTCTGTCCATGGAATTTTATAGGCAAGAATACTGGAGTGGGTTGCCATTCCCTTCTCCAGGGGATCTTCCCCACCCAAGGATTAAACCCGGGTTTACCTGCATTGCAGGCAGATTTTTTTTTTTATGTCTGAGCCACAGTCTCCCTTTTAGTCATAGAGGGCAGACTCTTAAAACCTGATAGTAATGCAAACTGTTCCTATTCATAGAAGGCAAGCTGGGAGCCATAGAAGGCAAGCTGGGAGCGATGGAATGCAATGGGTTCCACATCACATCACCACCCTGGATATGGATGGTGGTGAGTCAATTTACAAGCTCACGTCGGTCCTCCTCAGTGTGACTGTGAACTTTTGGCACTTCAGTTAAGCTAGTTGTTGGATCTTACTGGTTCCTTCACTAATCGATGCATTCAGTAAAAGCTCTGACCCGTTTTCATTTTATGTCTGTAGGGAGGTCATGATTATGACTTCTTTTTAAATTTACCCTTTAAAAATAAGGCTCTGTCTTTAATATCCTTAGGTAAAATAATCAGCCAAAATGCTTCACAAATAGAAACATATGATCGTGGAAATATCCACCTACAGAAGAATTAGTATGTTGGTCACTGCTCTTCTCCTGTCTACTATAGGAGATAACGTTGTGTGCTCATGGCAACAGCCCACTAAAAATTATTTCAGAATTATGTTGAATGGCTATAGTTTAAATAGAACAAAATGAGCTTCTAAACTTAAATTTAAAAACCAACTTAAAGATGATACTTTTTGAGGTTAAATTCAAACCATACAGGTATTACACCCTGTCACATAAAAGTGGCAAGTGCTTACTGAGCACAGTTCTCTGGGGACCTGGTGCTCGGTGGGCAGTGAAGAAACAGACCAACACAACTAGGTGAAGGGCCCCCATCAGTGACACTGTAAAGAGGAGTGTGAGGGACACACGAGTGTGAGGGACATAACCTGAACAGAATGCTACAGAATGCCGAGAAGGGAGAAACTAATTCTGACATAGCGGCGGGTGAGTCCAGACAAGGAAAAAGCAAATGCACCTGCAAGCTGGGTGTGAACTGTAAGCAGGGTCCCCCCAGACAGCGAAGCCTCTGGAAGGAGGTGGGTAGTAATGAGCAGGGGAGGTGGGGGAGAGAGGCGGTATGCGAGAGCAGAAAGCCTTGAGGCCCTGAAAAGCCCCCCAGCCAAAGAGTGACATGGTTCTCCACCCTGCTGTGCCAAGAATCACTGGGGACTTTATCAAAAATACCCCCTCTTTCGCCTTCCCCGTGATTTACATGCATGACCAATGGTTAGAGCAGCAATCAGACCTGAGGGAGGTGATGGAGGTGAGACAGGAAAGGCACCTGTGAAGGGACCTGGGCTGGGGGGTAGGAAATGGGAATCTGGATTTTAATCTATAAACCAAGGAAAGTCCCACAGGTACTGAAGCCCAGCAACGAGGTGGTGGACAGTGTTACAGAAAGAGCAGTCAGCAAGGAGCAGAGAGGGCGGCTTAGACAGCAAGAAGAGACTGGGGGAAGTGACCAGTGAGGAAGCAACAGCGGGAGCCCCCAGGAAAGAGGCGGGGGCTGCTCCTGCTCAACCCCGCAACCAGCCACCCGGAGATTAAGAGAAACCTCAGCTCCTGGAGTCAAGAAACCTGAAACTGATGAATGCAAAATTGAGCTGCCGTTCCAAAGTAACAGGCTCATAAAGACAAAACTTTACCACTAATTTCAAAAGTGCCCTAAGATGTGCATCGGCAATGACAATTGGCAAAATGTCACGTACCAAAAACTGTTCAGGGCCTTCTTGTCTGGCAGCGTGACAAATACCACCAAAATTCGTAGCACTCACCTTAAAGAGGCAAAACACATGCTCATTATTCTCAGATTTCTTTTTGTCTTAACAAATTGTGAAAACCAACAAGCAGGAAGCTTGAGAGCAATTACTCCACTGGTCGGGCAGCTAACAAGCACTTACCAAGTCCGGCGCTCACTCGGCACCACCCAGGCGCCTTTGCTGCATCGGAAACAGAAGATTTAGAACAGGGCACCACACGCTAGGACGTTCTGGCTCCTAATTGTCTCAATACATAATGCATCTGGTTAGCAACAGAGCAAAAGAGACCCTTAACATTCTCTGCAAGGTAATGAGCCCTGTCTCCTCGGCTCTGCATCGTGTCATGAGGAGAGGCCATAGAGAAGATGAGCAGTTGCACAGCAAGGTGGAAGGGGAGGCTGCTGGGGATGGGGAGAGGGCTAGGGAGGCAATGCTTTCAGAAGGAAGACTCTGACAACAAGCGACCAGCCATAAAAGGGGGGGGCAGAGCAGGGAGTGCAGTCAGAAGGGACGACTAACCTAAGAGGGTCCTAGAGCCCCTCAACCCAGACGGTGAGAGGCCCTGCATGCTGGCCCGGCGACTAAGCACAAGCCGACAGGTCTCAGCACAGGGCCCGAGTGGCCGGGAGAACTGGCAGCGGTATTCACTGTTGTCCTACACAGTTCACTCTGCCCGCGCTTTTCATCCAGACTGCATCTACTGAGGGAGTCCAGGCACTTTCAAGGAATTGATTTTGAATGTTTTAACTTTCTGAGTTTTGAAACCACATGCTCCCACCTTCCAAACTTGAAAGAGCTTCCCGTAGCCACACAGCTCACAGAATCGAGGGAACAGCAGGCGTTCAACTGTGCACTTTCTCAGCACTGACGACAGCTTGCAGATTATCTACAAATAACAAGAAAAAAACCTGGGTCACTTGAGATACCAAAGCACAGATCTCACATGGATTACTAACTAGATTCTGAAAGCTAATATTCAAAATATTGCCAGAATACCCCAGGAGTCAAAACAGAGAACACCTTCTTTCGCATTTTGTCAAGTTACATCAATAGAAGGCCAACAGTTTTCAAGTCTTACTCAGATTGTCTAAAGCCTGAGAGTGACCACTTACCAGATGCCTACTGTGTGCCCGACACATGCATGAACCACTTATATACATCCCCTCTTTCATGTTCCTCAAACCCTACAACATAAGTATCATTCATCTTCATTTTTCCAGACGAGGAAACTAAAGCTCAAAGAGGGGAAGTCCTGTTACCCAAACCAAATATTGGTGAAGCGGGATATATAGGAATAGCTGGCTTGCAGGCCATCACCAAAGACTCACCAAACACTGGCAGGACTAAAAGGGAGCAGACCTTGGATACAACATGCCCTCCTGCTATCTTTCTGCCCAGGGCACCCCTCATTCTGCACCAGCATGCACAGTAGCTGAACTTAAAGTAAAAGCTACCACTTAATTGGCTTGAGAAGTCAGAGAACAGAGACAGAGCTGACCAGAGTAGCTGGAAAGTGAGGAAGAAATCCTGGAAGAGAGCTAGAGAAGGGAAAGCCCCCACCTGCCTGAGATTAAATCTTATTCTAACTCTCGGCTGATCTCGGCACCGTGTGGGCACTGGGGAGGGGGTAAGGTTCACAGAGTGAAGCGATAGCTGGAAGGCAGAAGGAGCTGTGTGGTTTCAGCTGCTGAGGGCTGAAGACAGAGCAGACTCTAGAACAAAGTCAACACTCTTCAGAGGAAAACCACAGAGTCCAGAGTTTCTGCACTGTTTCATCAAGAAGACACATTAGATAATAAAAATTCATAGACATGAGAACAAGGGGAAATGTGACTTACGTTCAAGGAAAATCTCAGTCAGTAGAAACAAATCCATAGAAGATGCAGATGTTAGAAGTAGTGAGCTTTAAAAGGACTTTAAAGAGCTATTAACTAAAAGGAAAATACTCATAACAAATGAACAGATAGGAAATCTCATCAAAGAAATGGAAACTATAAAAAAAAATCAAGACTCTGACCAGAACACAGTAGCTTGGTCAGACAATGACAACAACATTCAATTAAAAATAACTAATTATGTGTTAACAGGAAAAAGTGACCCATAGTAAAGAAAAAAACAGTCAACAGAAATCAACACCAAGATGATCCAAATGTTGCAAGCACCAGACAAGGACTTTCAGAGAGCTTTTATAAATATATTCAAGGATTAAAATAAAATACAAGCATAAAGAACATACAGGGAATCTCTACATCATAGAGATATGTCAACTACAAAAAAGGTCAAAAATGGAAGCTCCAGCACTAAAAACCATAATAACTATGGTAAAACAGATGTAATGGAGAGGCCTAACAGCCTCTGGGAGGCTTTTGTCACCTTTCCGAGGTGACAAAAAGAGTCACTGAACTTAAAAAAGAGCAATGAAAATCACCAAATCTGAGCATTAGACAGAAAAATTTAAAAAATAAACAAAAACAGAAACTCAAACACCTAATGGGACAATATCAAGAGTGCCAACTTTATGTAATCCAAGTCCTGGACTGAAAGAAAAAAGAGTTTTAAAAAGCACTTAAAGGAACAATAGCCAAAAACTGCCCAAGTTAAGTGAAGGGCATCAACACACAAATCCAAGGAGTTTAAGAAACACAAAGCAAGATAAACACCCACTCTACAAAGACAAAGAGAACAATCTCAAGAGCTGACAGAGGAAAAAGGATCTTCTACACAGGATTATGGTATGAATGACAGCTGACCTCTCCAGAAGACAGCAAAATGGTATCATTAAAGTGCTGCAAGGAAAAATAAGAACAAACCTCAATTCTATATCCAGTAAAGATATCACTCAAAATTGAAGGCAAAAAAAAAAAGACATTTTCAGATGAAAACAGAGATTTTGTCAGCAGCCAACCAAACTAAAAACAGTACTAAAGTAAGTTCTTCAGGCTGAAGGGAAATGACATCAGATGGACACTCAGACCAAGGAAAGGAAACAAAAGCATCAAAAATGGTAAAACTGTGGGTATAAAAGGCTATGATTTTTTTTTTATTTTCTTACTTGCTCTAAAACTTAGAATTGTTCAAATCAAAAATTGTAATATCATATTACCAGGATTGTCATGTAATGTACATGTCATAATGTATGTGAAAACAATAGCACTGGGGGTGGGAGGTGGGGTGAGTAGAACTGTGTTGCTGCAAAGTACTATATTTTTTGAAAATTCTCAATAGAGAAATTAAAATGCAATACTACAAAAATAGTCAATTAGCCCAAGGAATGCAGAAAAAAATTAACAGAATAACAAATGAGACCAATGGAAAACAAAAAAAGTGGCAGAATTAAATTCAAATATATCAGTAATTACATTAAACATAAGTGGAATAAACACTCCAATTAAGAGGTAGGAACTATTAGAATGGATATAAAAACAAGACCAAACTCTGTGTCAACAAAAGGAAGAACATTTTCAATGTAAAGACATATATAGACATATGAGTAAATAGATATAAAGTGATATACTATGATGAGCAGTAAGCATGAGAATCCTGGAGTAAGTTATATTAATCGTACTATCTCAGTGGACTGCAAGATACAGATTACTACCAGTGATAGAGAAAGTCACCTTTTAGTAAGAGTCAATACATGACAAAGACATTAACATTAAATGCATAGGTTTAAACCCTTAAAGTAGAAAAGAAGCTAGATTGAGAAAAATTAAGCTTTATCCTTAAGAAACTGGAAAACTACAAGCAAACTGAACTCAGGTAAGTAGAAGGAAAGAAATAATAAACAGCAGAAATTACCAATATCATAAATGGAAGGGATAATACTGCAGATCTTCCCAGGGAGTAAAGGAATAAGGTGATATTGTAAGCAACTTTATCCCAATAAATTAACAACTCAGATGAAATTAATAAGTTCCTGAAAATATACAACTTACCCAATAACACAGATGAAATAACAGATGTGAACAGGCCATATCTGTGTTGAATCTGTCATCAAAAACCATCTCAGAAAACCCTAGAGCCAGAAGTTTTACTGGGGGATGCTAACAAATATTTAAGGGAAAAATAACACCAATCTTAAACAAAAGCTTTCAGAAAATAGAAGAGCAGGGAATACTTCCCAACTCATTTTTTTGAAGCTGGAATAACCCTGATTCTAAAACCTGACAAAAACGTAATAGGAAAAGAAAATTGCCTACAATAGTCCTCTTGAATATAGATGTGAAAATCTCAACAAAATGTTAGCAAATAATGGAGAAGGGACACTTCACAGCAGAATGTCAGCTGGAATCATTGATGGATGCTAACAGGAGTGGGTGAAAGTTTGATAAACAACAAACTTGTGTGGCTGCAAAGTAACTCCCCTTATTACACTCAGGGGGGAAAAGAGGTGCAGAGGAACTTGGCAGACACCACCTCCGTCTACGTCACCAGAGTTCACATCACCAATATCAGGCTAAACCGAAGTCCTGGGCCCCCTGATGTGACACACGAGAGCACAGCCCTACATTTCCCACCAGAAATGCCAAGGTGGACTCTACAGTTACCAGGAAACGTCAGAGGAGCCTAAACTGGGAGAGTGGTGTCTCAGATGGTAAAGAATCTGCCTGCAATGTGAGCGATGCAGGTTTGATCCCTGGGTCAGGCAGATTCCCTGGAAAAGGAAATGGCTATCCACTTCAGTATTCTTGCCTGGAAAATCCCATGAACAAAGGAGCCCAGCAGGCTACAGTCCACAGGGCTGCAAAGAGTCAGACATGACTGAACGACTAACACTTTCTTACTTTTTCTTCTTTCACCGGAAGCACTGCCCTGTCCCTTTCCCACACGTTCATGTTACAAAATTCAGAGAAAGGCTCCACATCCATCCCAGGCCCAAGGAGACAAAGGACGTGCAGCCATTCAGTACCAGGGGTGATCCTGGACAAACGACAACACTGGAACATGAACCACGGATGACGTATTAGTATTGCATCAGGGTTAAACTGCCTGATTTTGATTGATGTACTATGGATGTCTAAGAGAAAATTTCCCTGTTTTTAGGAAACAACCACTGAAGTATTTAGGAGTAAAGGGGCAACAGTATCTCCAATTTACTCTCAAGTGGCTCAGAAAAATATACACACATATGTGCATGTATATATGTGTGTGTGTATATATACACACATACATATATATAAAGAGAGAGAGGTGGGTGGGTGGGTGTGTGCACATGTGTAAAAAGAGAGGATGTGATTAAACAGAGATAAATATAAACCACGGGTGAAGTGGGACAAAGGGTATATAGCAGTTCATTCCTGCAACTCTTCTACAAGTTTGAAATTAAGACAGAATGAAAAATTATTCCAAAAAATGTTTAAAGAACTCTCCCATCCTCAAAATAAAAAAAGAAAAGGGGATGAAGAAAGAAGGAAGGACTTCCCATCGCTCGTTTGCTCTGCCCACTGCACAGCACTGCCTTTATTTATTTATGTATTTTACCACCAAGCAAGCTCCTGGTTACAGTTCACCAGCTATTCTATTTGGAATTTGCACCCAGCAGACAAGAGGGAAAAGAGAACCAAATGGGGTGGAGGGGGGAGAGGGAACTAACCCCACAGCTCAAATAAGGAGAAGGCTGTGTCTTCAGGACTTAGGAGACACGTATTTCTGCTCTGGTGCTCGGCAGAGCTGCACGGAGTGTCAGCCACAGAAATGAGACACAGGGCTCCGTATCCAGGGTAACGGGCAACAGGCCGGCATCTCCATCCACTCTCTCCATTGGCCACACCCACAGGACCTTATTACTGCCCGTGCAAAACAAATTCACAATCATTAGAAAGTCAGCACACCACATGACGAGACATGACATTCCCATGGCCCTGGGAACCACGTGTGTGGAATGAC